GTGTGTTTTTACATTTTCTCTCCTCCATTTTTTTTTTATTTCTAATTTTATAAATTAGAAAAAATGACAAAACACACCAAAACGACGTAGTTTCATTAAAAATGACATAAAGTTGTGTCATTTAAAATGACAACACTAAACCCTACGTGTGTGTGTATATATATATATATATATATATATATATATATATATATGCACATCCATGTATTACTTGCTTTCAAAAAGGGTTTTAATTTTCTTGCGCGTTCTCATATAAAATGTCTTTGCCATAAAGACATTCTTTTTTTAAAAAAAGTGGAATCCACCAATTAAAAAAGAAATAATTTGTCTACGTATTTTCGAAAATATACTGCGTGCAGCAAAAAACTATTTATGCAGTAAAAATAGAAATTGTTTTATGTTTTAAAAAAACAAATTTTGATTAGTCATATAAAGTAAGTGATGCCGAAAGCGCATAGAAAAAAAGGCTAAACAAAAAGTTGAGATATGATAAATGAGTAACCCTCCGGCTCTCAGTTTCTATTAACAAAATAACAAAAATTCAACTCCTACAATAAGGGTCATAAACACTTTTTTATAGACTAATTGAAAAGTAATACAAAATTCAAAAATCTAAAATTTAACATCTTAAAAATAAAAAAAACTTCCTAACATAAATATAACAGTAATTAACTTGTAAAAATAATTAATTAATTACAACTAAATCATTCAAAATACGTCCCATATCTTAGATCTCAAATCATTCCAAATGTGTTGCTTTCTTTTTCTTGACAAACAAATCACAATCATATCTGATGATTTATTGGGACTTCGATTTGATTATAATTTGTTATATTTCAAATCACTCAATCTTTCAACAATTGTGCCATACTTATTGCCTTATTGGAACATAACTCTAGTTGACTCTGAGCTTGTTGAATCAAAGGTTGGACATGTGCAATGGGCCAACTGTAAGTGCATCACTAAGTCTTTGATGTTTATCGTGTTATCGGAGATAAAATTATTTTCTACACACATAAAAGTGTGTGAGATAGAGGTGGCAAAACGGGTTGGCCCGCCCCGCCGCTAACCCGCCAAAAACGGGTTGGCCCGCCTCGCCCCGCATTTTGATATGGGTTGAAAATCCCAACCCACTCCATTTTGTGGTCGGTTGGCGGGTCAACTCGCCTAAAAAATAAAAAATAAATAAAATTAAAAATAAATTATATTTTATTAAGTTTATAATATTTCTTATTTTCATTTCACAATCCCTTTAGTTTTTTTCCAATCTCAAACCTAAATGTATAATAATATTCAGTCAAATATTTTTTAGGAACTTATCTTTGCCTCAATATATGGATAACCTTTGTAATAAATAAAAATTTTCTTCTTCACTTTTTCTAGGGGAGTACTAAGATAAATTTTTTTTCATATCATAAAAATTTAGTGACAAATAAAATACTAACAATTAGTATAAAAAAAAAATTGACCTGCGAGCCAACCCGCCCCGACCCATCACCAACCTGTTTTGACCCACAACTAAGCGTGGTGGGTTGAGATAGGTTGGTGGGTTGAAAAGTATAACTCAACCCACCCCGTTTTGGCGGGTTGACCCGTCGAGTTCAACCCAAATTGCCACCTCTAGTGTGGGACTCATGTGATTTATTTTTTTCTCTCTTCTCTTCACATGACCTTACATAAGTTCCACACATTTTTATCTGCGAGTAAAAGATAGGAAATAATTGTATCTCCTACAAGACATTAAACACATAACCTAAATTAAAAGCACATCATCCGTAATTGTAAGGAATTGTACTTCTCTTGAGCTATTTGATATATATTTTATGGAATAATATATTGTTATTATCTTTTTTAATGTCTATTTTACATAATTCTTTTCAAACACTATTAGATTAGAATTTCAACCTATTTTTACCATAAAAAATTCTGATCTAAAAAAAATAAGTAAAGTAAGTATGAAAAAGTATAAAAAAATACACATAATATCCTATCCCATTTTTTATTTGATTAGCCAAATAAAATTTGATTAGTCTACTTCATGGATATTGATTTTATTTTACTTAAAACTAGGGGCATAAATGGATTAGGCCGGCCTAGCCTAGCCTATATTAGGTCAGGCTTGACCTATTATAAATAGTCAAATAGAACATGCCTAGACTTTTAAAAAACATATTTAGAAAACAAGTCATAAGCTTTTTTGTCATGTCGGGCCTATAGTATATTATTTATATTAAATAAAATTATTATTTTAATAATTTTAAGTAAAAAAGTAATATTATTTTAGTTAATTTTTAATTATTAAATATTTAATAGGTTTAAACAAGTTAAAAGGCCAAAGTTAAGACTTTATTTTTAAATACAGATCAGGTCAGGCTTATAATCTGTGCCTACACATACTAAAAAGTCAGGCCAATCATAAGAATTTTTACACAAACCTAACTAATTAAATCAGATAAGGGATATTCTCACTACTAAAATTTTCCACTACCAACTTACTACCTATCTAATCACCATTAGATTAACATTTTCTCTCTCTCTTCAAAAACCTTTTAACATTCTCTCTCTTTGATCCCATGGTGATATGATGGGTAGTGAGTTAGTAGTGACTAGGGGTGAAAGTGGGCTGGGCTGGGCCGAGCTTTGCCCCAAAAAGCCCAAGCCTACGTTAAAAAATTTTAATTTGGCCCGGCCCAAGCCTAGTATGAGTCTAACTGTTAGTCTGGTTTGGCCCATTCATGAAAATAACAAATGGCCTGGTTTGGCTTGTTAGCCTGTTAATTTTTAACTTCCAAACAGAACCATGAATCAACTTTACAAAGTACTCAAATTCTGTTGCTACACCAAAAATCATAATTTCAACGTCCAAATAGAATCATGAATCATAACAAAACTAATACAATATGCATTTAAGTCATTTTCAAAAGCAAAATGCTCAAATTAAATAACATATATTTCATCAGATCCAACAAACAAATTCATACTATGTAAATTAAAATAACTACATGAATCCAACAAACATATCATGATGCTTGTAGTAAGTATAACCTCTGCCAATTTTTTTTTAATATATTCATATACACAATCTAACATGTTGAGATGTTGGTTCCTCCTATATAAGAAATAAAGTAAGATTTCTATTAAAATATAATCGAATATGATTAAGTTATAAATAATTGCAATTGATTAAATTTATCTTTTTTTTCTTGAAGGCATACTTACTCTATTTTATTTTATTTAAAATAAATAGTACAATATAGGCCGGCCTGTAGGCTTATAGGCTCGGCCTTTTGAAAGTGGACCTACGGCCTTTTTATTAAACAGGCTTTTTTAAGGCCCAAGCCCGACCTATTATACAAAAAATACTAGGTCAGGTCTAGCCTGATGTAGACCGAGCCGTAGGCCCCTGTAGGCCGGCCCGACCCAGTTTCACCCCTAGTAGTGAGAATTTTTGGTAGCTAGAATATCCTCACCCTTTAAATCAAAACCTAACCTATTTACACGCTACTTAAAACGCAATAACACGGTGCCAAGTAGAGGTGGCAAAGTGGGCGGCCCGCCCCGCCCCGCCCCGCCATCAACCCGCCAAAAAATGAGTCAGCCCGCCCTACCCCACTTTTAAAAGTGGGCTGAAAAATTGAGCCCGCCCCGCCTCGTTTGGCGGATTGGCCCGCCAGCTCGAGCCTATTTTACACTGACCCGCCTCGGCTCGCCATCAACCCGCCAAAATATGAGTCCGCCCTGCCCCATCCCATCCCGCTTTTAAGATGGGTTGAAAAACTCAGCCCATCCCGTCCCGTTTAACTGATGGGACGGGTTGGCCCGCCGAGCCGAACAGATTTTGCTGGACTTTTTTACCTTTATAACATTTTATTAATAATTAATTACCAAATTGACCTTCATTATAAACTATTTCAAAAATTTAACCTCCCCAACAAACATAACACCAATTTGCCCCTGTTTGACCGTTGACCACCAAGTCTACCCGGGTACTCCCCTCCCTACCCGGGTATTTTTTGAAAATTTTGCCTACCCGGGTAGGGAGGGGTGTACCCGGGTAGAGTTCTTCAATCTGAAAAAATAGTTGAATTATTTACCCGGGTACATAGGGGTGTACCTGGGTAAATCTCCACCAGAAACCCCAAAACCCCTCCTAGATCTCTGCAGCAGCCAACAGACATACAATTTACAAAATCGGTTTCTCCTCCTTATCTTCATCTTATGTTAATTTTTTTATCCCATCTTCCCACGGTATTGTCACCTACCATTTGCTATGGGTTTTTCAAATCTTGGGTTGGTTGAAAGTTCTAAACTTTTTTTTGATTTCTTTGCAAGTTTGGTTTTGAATGAATGCTTCTGAGAAAAGGGTATCTTTCAACTTTACTGCTCTTGTACTTGTTCCTCATACAATTTTTTCCTAATCTAGTTTGTTGCAGTTTTTGAACAGGTATCGCTTCTTGTCATTGGATGTGTGAATTTCTGAACCTATTCGACAGAGGCCATGCATTATTCTGCCTCCTCCTGCTTCATTTTGCATCCAAGGCCTGGTGTCAGTTTCCGAGTTCTGTTAGAATTCCTGGTGATGACTGTTAATGTAAGTAAACTTACAAGTGCTATAGGAGTTGCTATGTAGCAGTCTCTTGAGTTCAATGAGATTTCATTTTAGTCTCTTGAGTTTTATTTCATTTTGGGGTTTTTGACAGAGATTTACCCGGGTACACCCCTCCCTATCCGGTAAATAATTCAAACATTTTCTCAGATTGAAGAACTCTACCCGGGTACACCCCTCCCTACCCGGGTAGACAAAAAATTTCAAAAAATACCCGGGTAGGGAGGGGTGTACCCGGGTAGGCTTGGTGGTCAACGGTCAAATAGGGGCAGATCGGTGTTATGTTTGTTGGGGAGGTTAAATTTTTGAAATAGTTTATAATGAAGGTCAATTTGATAATTAATTATTAATAAAAGGTTATAAGGGTCGAAAGCCGATTTTGCTGGCTCTAGTGCCAAGTCCCAAACGCACACGCTTCTATTCGTTTCGGAAGCAACGCAAGTTTCATGGAGAACGATTTCAGAACCAGGTCGGGTCCCCAAGGTCCGATGTACCGTCAACCGCCGTCATCCATGTACCCGAAGATCGGCCCCCAAGGCGCCGCCGTCGCCGCCGGCCGTCCATCACCATATCACCAGAATTCTACTCCTTCGTCATCTTCTTGTAATTCTCTCCCTGCGCTTCATTTGATCACTTTCATCTCAAGAAATTCCATGTAACTAACGAAAACGAACATTCTCTTTAACTGATATGGAGGATTAGTGATAGTAACCAAGTTTTCAAAAAAATTCGGTTTTTCTCGTAATTATTGAAAAGAATAAATTGAAAAAAAATAAAAAACTAGGTTTAGTCATGTTCGCGGTTCAAGTGTGATGAAATTGATTTTCTTATTGACTTTGCAGCAGGATTGGGCATTAGGGTTGCTATAAAGCCAGAATATAGGATCACACCGCCGGTAAGATTTGTTTTGATTGTCTATTCTGTTGTTTTGAATTGAGAATACGTAGCATTTCTTGAGGTTCAAGCTTAAGTTACAGTGCATTATAATGTATTTGACTTGATGACAATGCTTTTCTCCTCAATGCTTGTGAGTTGTGCGTGAATGCGCATCAATCTGCATGTCAGTGTCATTTTAATGGACATGCTTCCTTCGTGAAGTTTTTTTGGATCTTGGTTTCACCTTACTCCTCTCAATAGCAGGGTGCATTCTGCAGTGTATCACTGTTGATGTAAATACCAACAGTTCAGATTTTAATAAAATATAAGCAATCTGTGGATTTGTGAAAAATGAAATCTATTAATTTTCTAATGGTTAGTAAAGTGGAAACTTTTGTCGCATGATTGAGGATTCTAAATGCTACTTTTCTTTGCTTGAGTTAACTTTATTTTGGTTTGCCACTCATGTTCGGTTATCTTAAAATTCCTTTGATAACTGCATAGCTTCTTCCATCGCTTCTATTGTACCTTTTATTGACAATGGGTTGCTGCTTTGAGGAATTAATTTTATTCAGATTTTTGCATGTATTCCCTATCTGGATGGTACAGTTGCTGAACTTTTCTTTTTTCTGGCCCTTTTGTATTCTTATTGTTCTGAAGTAATTTCTAAATCTGGGAAGATAGTGCATTATGATTTATGATATTAGATGGATTCTGTAAGGCGCATTACAGCTCAGTTAACTGGAGCAGAAGATTATATGGTTGTTTATACACATTATTCCAATGGACTTGTTCGTATGAACCTTTAGCAGATTTTGTTCCATAAATTTCATTTTGAAGTTGTTCTTCCATGCCAAGTATGCAAAAGTACTCAAGCTTTGCATAATTGACTTGGATCTGTTTTGATAGTTGAATATGGTTTTTGAGGGGTTTTGACAATTTTGCAGCCTCATTTATCACCACACGTAGGTGATAATCCCCGGAGCAACTTCCAATTTGATTTTGGATTGGAGAGAAAACTTTTGGCAGAAGCAGAGAAGGATAACCCAAATTGGAGCAAATTTGTGTCAGACAATCTTCCAACTAAAGTTTCTGAATCATCATCATCTACAAAGGTTTGTTCTTGATTTAGAGCAGGAAGTTCCAATTTATGATATTGTAACCTGTGTTAATTATTTTTTTTCCGAATTTATTACCCAGAGGTTGTAACTTCACGTTTGCTAGTTCATGATAAATTTGGTACATTGTTTTTCGGTATATAGGTAATCTTTTACTGTTTCCAACTTGATAGTGTAAAATGAAACATTTTTTTTCAGGTTACTGCTTCAGATCCCGTTGTGAGCAAATATATAGCCATGGGGCTCAGCCGAGAGGCTGTTCCCATTGCTGTTGCGAGTTATGGTGATAATCCAACCAGGGTATGCTCCGGATCCCTGTAACTCATAATGGACATGATGTTAAGATAATAGCAATGCTTTAGAGTATGATTAATGATTTTTATGTTTCTGAAAAATAATGTATGCCAAACATCTTCTATCTGCACTGATCATGCAGATTGAATAATTTTTTGGATTCTTGGTTATAGACATAGCATTACTTAAATTGTTCTACCCTTGATACGAGAATTTCTCCTCCAAATATTTACTGTGAACTTATTGTTGGTCGTCAAGTTGATAGTTTTTTCAAGAATGATAGAAAGTGGTAATTAAATTGATAGTTCTCTAAACCTTGTATACAAGTTCGCATATGTTGTGCTTGATCTGATTGTCTTCTGCTTCTGAGCATCCCTCCCTGGGTTGGGAAGGAGGAGTAATTTTGGTGTTCTATGGAGTCTACTGGTTCCTTTTATTTACAAACGTCAATGATCAATAGGTGTTTTGCTTAAAACCTAACCGGAAGAGGTTTGAAACTAAATTTCTTTTCAAGTAGACAAGCTGTTGATTACTTGATTTTTTTCGGTTAAATTTTTTCCATCTGTCATCTGGAGTTTACTTCCAGTTCATATATAATTCTTCGTCAACCTTATATTGTGGGGAAGCCTTTCTTATCATGAGACAATTTAGGAGCTTTTACCAGCTCAGATCTTAGTTCCCAGCTTATCACTTTGTCATTCTTATGACGAGCACTACTAAACTTCCCAAAAGTGGTACCATACTGAAAATTGCATTTACTGGACGGTTCTTTGTATTGTTTGTGTTGACCACCCTGGCTGCATGTTTATGGTTTTCGAAGTAATCATTACATGGTGCTTTCCGTTGGATTCGATACCATCTTCAGGTGGTTTAGTGTTTTTCTTATTTAGACTAGTGCTGAAATTCCTTTATTTTGCGTTGCCAGTTGCTACTCTAGCAGGCAGAAGATGTATCGTAGTCTTTACTGATTAAATTGTTTTTCTGACCTGATGCATGATTCATTTGAAGGTTCAGGAATTTGTCAACGGGTACACCCTTCTGCGGGAAATGGGATTTTCATCCAGCAGCGTTGCTGAAGCCTTGGTTATGCATGACAATGATACTGACAAGGCACTAGCACATTTCCTTAATGGCTCATCATGAGCAGTTGAAGTAGCTATGTTATTGCCAAACCAAAAAGGAAGAAGAAATCACCTATGTTGTTTAACTCGTTGGAAAGAACTTTTGAATAGATAGATGAAAGAACTATGGTAGTTATGGATTAAATTTGGAATGATAACATACGTGAAAATTTAAGAATATAGAAAGCCATACTGACATGTCTCTTGTTTCGGAAATCACACTAGCTTCTCATATGAGGTTTATGTGTTGTTTATACTTAGCCCCGTGTAGTTAAGTTGCCGTTTAGATGTGTGACGGGTGAAGTAATACATGCATTGTTAAGTAGCTTCTTTTCATTCTATGAATCACAATTCTGTTTTTTAATTTTCATTTCAGTCATTATTTCTGCCAACTCCTCAACCTTTTTTCTGATTGGAATCACGTACACCATGATCTGCAAGTCTTTCATTGTCTTAAGCAACTTTTTGATGTTAACCCAGAAATCCTTCGTCTTCAATTTATGGATTTGCTCTGCTGTATCTTCAAATGCTTGGTCCCTGATAGCACTAGTTCCTCCCCCTCTGCATGTCTTCCAATGACTTCAATAGCTTATTGGTCCTAGCCTAGAAGCATAGTTATTAATAGCGGGTAGCGACCGATAGCGGCCAAGCTCAAAAATGCTATAGCGGTATAGCGGGTAGTGATATAACCACTACAACGAAGTCCATAAAAAAATTAATTAAAATTAAAAATATACATTCATAATTAATTCTATTGTCACTTTCATTCCAAACAAGGATTCAAAGAATATAAAGGAAATAATATAAATTCCTTGAAAAGAATTACATTAACAAAAATCAAGGAAAATAAGGAAGGATCTAAATATTGTCAAATACGAATTTTAATGCTCTATTTCAAAATCAAGAAAGGAACTAAGCAAAATCATCATCTCCACCATCTTCTAAGAAGTCTTCTCCATCCTCACTGTCACTAGTACAAAAATTATAAATTTGCTCTTCCTCTTCAATTTCTTCATCACCACCACCTTCATTATCAACACTTTCTTTTTCCTTTCCCTTAGTGATAAAGCCCAAGTAGGTTCAGATTAAAAAATCTATTTTACCCTTATAATTAAAGTTTTAGACCATAATACCCTCTATTCCTCCTTTTCCATTGCTTTCTCACTGTAGCGTGCAATTGCCTTGCTAACCACGCTATCCGCTACTGCAAATTGTTGACCGCTACTGCTGCTACATTGAATAGTAGCGTTGCGTGCGTTCTGTTGCGGCATATGGCCGCTACCCGCTACAATAGCGATATTGCGCGCTATTGCGGCGCTATTTTCATCTATGCCTAGAAGTCTTTCGTCTTCAGTACATGGACTTGCTCCACCGTATCTTCAAATGCTTTGTCTCATGCTGCCACCATTTCTTCTTGCACAAATTTTAAGCACCTGTGCTAAAATAAATGATGACTTAGACATATAGGTCATTGCAAGGCAAATTTGGCGGTGCACTAGAATTTTCTTCGAATTTTTCCCCCTCGCTTTCATCTGAACAGGGATACCATTGTTTTTTTTCATTCTTCTCTTCTTAGATTAAGAGCCCGATGGGCTTTTTTTCCTTTCTAAAAGCTGTTTTTTTTTTTTTTTTTTAAGAAAGAAATTTCTCAGAGGGTTTGTTTGGATAGGCTTCCAATTTTTTTTTTTATGCCTTGCTTATTTTAGAAGTATTTTTTTTATTAAAGTTAAAGCTATTTAAATTTAAAAAAAATATTTGATTTTTGAAAAAAATATATAGTGATATCATAAAAAGATTAAACGTAGTTTGAATCTCCAACATCACAATTATTAAAAAAGAAATGAAATTGAGGAACGAAAAATTAAATCGAACCCTAACACTAGGATTCTCCGGGAGTGTTTGGTAGAGGAGTTTTTTTTTATTAGGGAAATACAATTACTAGGAATATGGTGAGAAAGTGAGTTTGGTAGAAAAGTTAAAAAAAAGTTGTTTGGTAGGCCGAAATATTACCGAAAAAATTGGGTTAAATTTTCTGAGTCTATGTTTGGTTGAACGTAAAATATTGATGGAAAAATGGATTGAAAAGACGAAAATAACCCTTTTATAATTTTTGACAACATTACTCCAAGATTTATCACAAGTGAAAACCTTCTGCAAGCTATGACTAGGTGTACTGAGCAGAATGGAAAAATATATGAAGGTGAAGGTTAGAGGAAATAGAAGTGAGAAGCTTCAAGAGACCGTGTCTGATCTTAAAATGAGATTATGTTGCCACCTGAATCGATTTTTGTGATCATAGTCAAACGGGAGTGGATCCTCTCATATGGAAAAATGGTCATTTTATTTGATCACAATCACTCATTTGAAAATTATACATTTTTCTCTCTCTTATCTCATCATCAATAAGTGGTTGTGATCAAATAACATGATCACATGACTACTTTTTCACATGAGAAGATCCATTCCCTAGTCAAACACATGATCCCTGCCCTGGAAGTATTGAAGAGCTCCACTTTGCGTCTCCAAATTTGCATCTCCCAATTTACGTACCAGGGGCATTTCCGTCTCCAAATTTGCGCTCCATTTTTTCTTTTCCTAGCAAACGAAAATACCACCTTCCATTTGATTTTTTGAAACAGTGTTTTTCATCAAATTCACAATGACTGGGTAATGCATTTGCATGGTTAAATTTTTTGAAACTTCTACCAAACATGGTTAAGTTAAAATATCACTAGAAGTTGCCTGGTTATCTCTACCAAAAACCCCTACCAAACACCCCATAACATAAAAGTTTCAAAGATCAATCAAATTGATCACTTTGAAGCCACCAGTGGCGGTGATGGTAGATTCGAAGGATTGTTAATTTGTTGCACGCTATCCGTAGCGACAACTAGACTCATGTCAATGAGAAGAGTGGTGGTTCTTGCGATTCAAGCAGCATTGCTGACTCTTTTTCATGGGAGGTTGTGTTTATGCTTTGTATTCTTTTTCTTTCTTTCTTTTATAATGGAGGGGAAATAGGCATATCATTCGGTGCATAATCATTGTTAACCATCATTTGTTATAAGGTCTATGTAGGTGTAGGAACAAATAAAGAATTAAGTGTAATTACCGCAAACCACAGCTAGAATCAGAGCAATACTATCCAAATACAATAAAAAATATATTCATACAACATCGAGTTAATTTTAATTTTGTTAAAATAAATAAATAAAAATCCATTCCTCTATTTCGTGTGTTAAATTTATGAGCTTTTGTCATTTTAAATGACATAAGTTATGTCATTGTAGGAGAGAGATAGACACAGAAAATGAAAATTATGAGAAAGAGAAAGTGAGTGTTTTTTTAATTTAAAATTTAAATAAAAAAATTATTCTGTGTGTATCTCTCTCTTAAAATGACATAATTTTATGTCATTTAAAATGACAAACACTTTTCTTTAAATTTATTAAGTGCCACAAATTTTTATGCACAACAACAGAAATTCAATGACTTTGCACAAGATTTTTATTTTCAAAACTTCATCTTAAATTTTTTTCCAAAAAAATATTAAGGATGTTTAGTTGATTTTTTAAGAAAATAAAAAAAGTTATAAAAAAATCTTTAAAATAAAAGCAATATAAATTTTTTTAAATATTAAGCTCAAACAATAACCTTATGGGCAGTTGTAATTCCACGGGCACTGTCAGGTTTCAAGTCTAATATAGAGGTCGTTTGGTTCACCTTAAAAAAAAAGTAACTTTTACTACTTCCTTATTTTTAAATTACTTTTTACAAAAGTTAAAGCTATTTATATTTTTATAAAAATATTTAGTTTTTAAAAAAAATATTTGGCTTTTGACTTCTACTTTTCTGGGAAGTTAAAAATTTTAGCTTCTGAGAAAAGTAGGTTTTTGACTTTTTTTGTGACTTCTCCTTTTTTTAAAAGCAGACATCCAAATGAACTAAAAACGAAAAGTGCTTTTTTTCTTAATAAAAAGCAGCTTTTGAAGAAAAAAAAGCTCATCCAAACAGGCCCATAATGTTATGGCGAAAAGTGAAATGCTCATATTGAGGCCCGTAACCCACTAATTATAACTTGCCGGTACTAGGACGGTATGGGCTGTTGAATTCGGTACTGCCCGTAACCCACTCTCTTCAGATTTTCTTTAAAATCTGAAATGCTTATCCATCTAGCATATATTTAATTATGACACTGTCTGTTCACCTATATAAATAAAGCCTAATCATGACTCAAAATTCCCTGCTACTGACTGTACACATACAAAGTCCCCTTTACTGCAAAAGAAAAGATGATTGGCCACCATGTCACTCCTATAAATATTTTCACTAATACATTTTTGTAAGTTCTTCCACCAAGAGAAGACCATCTTCCACTACGCCCATGAATGAATGAAAGAACCATAGAATGATAGAAACCAACTTATAGGTGGAAAACTAAATTTTTAATTGCTGTGCTATCTTGCATGCCTTTAGTAATAATTGCTATTAAACTTTCAACCCACCAATTGACAAACTGTACAATTTAATGGAACTATATTGCCCGATAGACTTAGAAGTCTAGAAGCAACTTTACAACAGACATCTCCAGGAATCACTCAGTTTCCAGTAGAGATAAAAAGATCTTAGGAAGTCAAACCTTCTAACAATTGGTAGTCTTCTCACGAGAATGCACTAGAACCAACTCAAACACCTGCACAAATTGCTCCTGAAAAACAAAAATTATGTTTTGTCACCTTGAGGTTGCAACTAAAATTTGATGCATATGCCAACAATTTATATTAAGTAAATTCTGCGTATAGTTTCTTAGATACTCAAAGTCAGGCCACCTTTTTGGGGGCTATAAAACTAATGCCACGAACTTGAATTTTAAACTAGCAAATATGCACCTGCAACACACAAAAAACATGGAGAGATAGAGAGACAGACCTGTCGACCAGGATGAGCAACAAAAGTTTGCCTCGTCAACGTGCTTCACATCAAGCCCAATAAACCAGGATCCAGCACTCACGTCATCATGGGCATAGGCACGCAGAATAGATCTGCCAACTTAACAGATTCAAGATTGAGTTGCATAAACAGTAGCTAACAGTATAGCTGCAGTAAAGAGTGGATCTGACCTGTTTATTGAAACAAATTTAGCCAATGCTCGCGATATGACATACATCTCTCCTGATGCATGACGAAAATATCTGTTGAACAAGAGATTTAATCATCATTTCAAGAGGAGATAAATACATGACATGAAGAAAATATTTGTGAAACTTAGCGCACATCAATGGAGCCAGAATTGTGCACCAAAAAGCTGGATAAATGAAATATTCAACTTGCTTGCTAGCTCTCCTTGGTTTCCATCCTCAACTAGCAAAGTATAAATTAAATTATATTTTGCAAGTACTTAAGATATTGGCACTGTAATGTATATTCATGTCACATAATAGGCTTATCCAGTTAAGATTGTTTTGAGAAGCAAAAGTAAAATAGGTATTGCATTTTTTACTTATGGGATCAACAAACTCATAGCATTGCAGACTACCATGAAAAAACCCTCAGTTTCACCAAAGATCCACATGCAGCTATTGGAAACTGGTATATACTGTGTCAAACATGACTAATTTATATAATGTTTGACAAAAATTAATGAAACTGTTCAATCATATGAAATAACAGGTTGCTTGGCTTACGATTTTTTGTCACCAAATTTCCACCATTCTGGTTCATACCATTTATGGTTCCTGTCATAATCCACAGACGCTGAGATGAGAACAATAAAATGTATTATTTATAAAGCACATAACATTTTAAACAACATAAGGGGCTCACTGTTCAGAGAAAACTTCGCCTGATTTCATGCATCCCATGTAAACACGAGGTTTGTCCAAATGAGCTGCAAGTGTAGCTCCCAAGGCATCTGTGCAGGAAGAAACAAGTAAGTTGCAAGACATATATTTATCTCAAAATGAGAAACAAACTCTTAGGAATTTAATTAAATAGGGCAAAAGGCACACAAAAAATGTCATCATATAATCAAAAGGAAGAATGTTAACTTTCCCTTCTCAGAAGATGAAAATATATAAGGACAATTCAGGGATAGGAGGCAGTTAATGATTGAGGAAACTTTCTTTTTTCTCCTTTATTTATCCTAATCTTGTTGATGATTTTATAGTTTTATTAGAACCTAGGTACTTTAGTGGCTTAACCGCTTAAGCACTTTTGTTACTGTGCATTTCCCAGGCAGAGATTCTTTCAGCATTAAGGGTTCCTTTGGATAAGCTTTAAAAAAAGTGATTTTGAAATAGCACAAAATAGTCTTTTTGTTTTAGAGCTTTTTATGAAAAGTAGAAATTATTGTGTGTTTAGGTACAATTACTAAAAAGCAGCACTTTTTACTTCAAAAGTGCTTTCAAGCTGTTTGGATGAAAAATATTAAAGTGTTTTTTCTTATAAAATTACAATAAAGGACATAAAAAAGCACTTCTAAAGAAATATGTTTGGATAAAAAAGTACTTTTTGTACATGTTATAAAATCAAAAATATAATTAACACTTATTATATACTTATTTTTTTAAATAAGAAAAATTATTTAATATAAAATTATAATTTTTTTTATAAAAAATTATTTCAAATTTTATATCGTGCCCAGTAATTTTAGAAATGTTCAAAGTTCAAACCATCACTTTCTGATACAGACCTCTTTCCATTTATCAACAATTATAACAAACAGTAAAGATTTTCCTGAATAACAGCAGTTTTCTTCTTATATATTGATTAAAAGGAAATTACAATAACTCAGTTTACTCAACTATAGAGTCAAGCTTCACTTCATTACAGAGATTTCACTGAAAAGTAAACAACAATAAGCTAAAGATAATTGTGCAACAATTATAGAGGTTACACACTCTCCCAATCCCAATAAGGGCCTTTACCAGATTCTTCTCCCCCTTCTCCTCTTCCCTTCTTCCCTTTATATCTGCCTTCCATGCATCCCCACGCTCCCCATTCTGTTACGGGGTATTTTGGGTACTCTCTTGCTGACGTGGCAACTCTATTGCCTTGCATGCTTGTTTACTTGATTGGGCTATCAGCTTATCAACAGATTGAGTCTTTTGGGCTTGGGCTTGAGCCCACACCTTCCTCTCTTTATCCCTTTTGTATCGTTTGATCTGAATTGTATCAATACTTCCCCCCATTTGAAGAACCTTGTCCTCAAGGTTGAATTGAGGGAATTGAAGGTTGATGACTTCAAAATCTTCCTAAGAGCTTTCAAACTCAGGCAAATGTCTCCAACGAATAAGCACTTGAATATGCCCCTGTACTGATCGTCTCACATTCAGCAATGCTTCAAGCTCCAAGAGTAGTTCCCAATCGGCATTTAAAATGCTTGGTAGTGGCTGGACCGTGGAACTTGTCTTGATAGCTTTTTTGAGAAGGCTGATATGGAAAACAGGATGAACTTTACACTCTTTATGAAGCAGCAAACGGTAAGCCGTCTCACCAATGCGTTCCAAAACTTGGTAAGGTCCATAAAACCGTGGACTGATTTTCTCATTGATCTTCCTTGCAATGGTTTTGAGGCGATACGGTTGCAGCTTGAGATAAACCCAATCACCCACTGTAAATTCCAATTCCCTGCGATGCTGATTTGCATAGTGTCTCTACGATCTTGAGCTTTGAGAAGGTGATGTTGTAAATCATGCAGAATAAGATCTCTCTCTTGAAGTGACTGAGAAACAGCATCAATGGCAGGTATGAAGGTGCCACATTTAAAAAGGGTATGGGGGTCCCTGCCATATAATCCTTTAAAAGGAGTCATACCCATAGCATCCTTAAACGTTTTATTATACCAAAATTCTGCCCAATGTATCCAGGCAGGCCACTGTTTGGGTTTAGTGCAGCAAAAACACCGGAAATAAGCCTCCAAACACCGGTTAACTACCTCTGTTTGCCCATTAGTTTGTGGGTGATAAGCGGTGCTATAATGTAACTTGGTGCCAGCACTTTTGAAAATTTCAGCCCAAAAATTACTCAAAAATAAACGATCTCTGTCAGAAGTAATGGTAGTAGGGAAGCCATGGAGTTTAACTATCTCCTTGATGAACAACCCAGCAACATCCACGGTTGTATACGGGTGCTTTAATGGAAGGAAATGAGCATATTTTGTAAAGCGATCAACAACCACTAATATTGTATCCAACCCCATTGCTTTAGGCAATCCACCAATAAAGTCAAGTGAGATGTCCTCCCAAACCCGTGAAGGAACAGGTAACGGCTGTAGCAAGCCCACTGGGTTTAAATTCTGAGTCTTGCATTGCTGACATATTTCAAACCCAGCCATATAATCTTTGATATCCTTTCTCATCCCCTCCCAATAAACGACACCCTCTAGTCTTTTAAAAGTCCGGAAGTAACCTGAATGTCTTCCCATACCCGTATCATGATACTCTTGCAGTAGGGGACCAATAAATTTTGATCCCTTGGGCAACACTAATCGGTCATGGAAAAATAACTTCCCCTCCCTTATCTTAAAACCTTCATGAGCATCAGATGCAATGAATAAATCTTGTAGGATGCCTTTGAGTTTAGGATCCTGTTGAATTTCTGCCTCCAATGCCTCAAACTCAGCCCATTGAATTTTAGATAACACCCCAAAAAACATTTGTCTAGACAGTGCATCAGCCACCACATTTTCTTTCCCAGGATGATATTGAATGTCAAAATCAAAGCCCATTAATTTGGAGATCCATTTTTGTTGATCTTCACTCAAAACTTGTTGTTCTGTGAGAAACTTTAGGCTGCGCTGATCAGTCTTGATGATAAAATGCCTTCCCATCAAATAGTGCCTCCATTTTTGCACCGCAAAGACTATTGCCATCAATTCCTTTTCATATATAGACTTAGCTTGGGCACGGAGAGAGAACCCTTGGCTAAGGTATGCAATGGGTTTGTTATCTTGCATCAAAACAGCCCCAACACCTTTCCCAGAAGCATCAGTGGTGACAATAAACATTTTATTAAAATCTGGTAATGCCAATACAGGTAAAGAGCTTATCAATTTTTTTAACAGCTGAAAAGAAGTCTCGTCCTCCTCATCCCATATGAAACCATCCTTCTTCAAACGTTTAGTAAGAGGTTTGGCAATTTTCCCATAGTCCTTGACAAACCTCCTATAGTAGCTGGTTAGTCCTAGGAACCCTCTTAGCCCCTTAATGTTTTTTGGACTGGGCCAAGACACCATGGCCTTGATTTTTTCTGGGTCAGCTTGAACCCCTGTTGCTGAAACACAGTGGCCCAAGTATTCAATCTGTCTCCTGCCAAAATTGCATTTTTTTTTGTTTGCCACTAAACTATTCTGTTTCAACACTATCAGAATAGCTCTCAAATGGTCAGTGTGTTTCTTTTGACTTTGGCTGTACACTAATATGTCATAAAAAAAAACTAAAGCAAATTTCCTTATAAATGGCCTTAGAATATCGTTCATTAAAGCTTGGAAAGTAGATGGGGCATTGGTTAGCCCAAAGGGCATCACCAAATATTCATAATGCCCCTCATGTGTTCGAAAAGCCGTTTTAAGGATATCTTCTTCCCTCATCCTAATCTGATGGTAACCAGATTTCAAATCCAGTTTAGAGTAAACCTGGGATCCTCCCAATTCATCTAATAACTCATCCACCATAGGCATTGGGAATTTATCTGGTATGGTGATTTTATTCAATACCCTATAATCAACACATACACGCCAACTTCCATTTTTTTTTTTAACTAAGATTACAGGACTAGAATAGAGGCTAGTACTATATCTAATCATGCCATTTTCAATTAACTCAGCAACTAGCTCTTCTATTTCAGATTTTTGGTAATGAGGATACCTGTAAGGACGAATGTTTGGTACTGTACTCCCAGCTTTGAGATGAATAGCATGATCTATTGGTCGGGCAGGTGGGAGTTCCTTGGGATTACAAAAAATGTCCTCAAATTCGGATAGCAATTCGTGCAGCTCTTGCCACTGCTTTGTGTCACCCTCTGTTTCAGTTTTGGATGCTTTCACATAAAAGCCCTGACCTTGGTCACTGAGAGCTTTATTGATGGACTTACAGGAAATTTCAGTCCTAACACACGAAGGGTCCCCCTTGATCACTGTCTCCCTTCCTTTTTCCCCATATTTGAGGGTCAATTCTTTGAAATTTGCCTTGATTTCCCCCAATTGTGTCAACCATTCGAGCCCAAGCACAACATCTGCACTTCCAAGTTCAAATAAGTATAGGTCTTGTTGTATTTGAGCCCCTTGAATATTAATGCTCACCCCCTTGCAGACACCCGTGCATCCAACCTTAGACCCATTCCCAATCTCCACTTGATATACTGGAGTTTCACGAATCTCCAGTCCCAGTTGTTCTGCCAATTTTTTCTTGATAAAATTGCTCGAAGCACCACAATCGACCATCACCGTCACCTTCTGGTCACCTATCTCTCCCCACACCATCAGAGTTTGGCTTGAAGTGAGCCCTAAAAGACTTTGTAGCGAAAGCTGCAAGCCCTGTTCTTGTTCGCTAGTCTCTTGGGTTGGTAACGTAACTGGGTCCTCTTCCTTCGTATCACCCTCTGCTTCGTCATCGTCCTCCACCAAGAGCACGTGCAGCTGTCGGATTTTGCATCGATGGGTTGGATGCCAACGTTCCTCGCATTTGAAGCACAAGCCCCGATCTTGCCTGTCGCGCCATTCCGCCTGCGACAACCTCCGTCCTGGGAACGTTTGATTTTCCGGTGTCGGTCCTTCGGTAGTCGACGTTGAAGCTCTGGTGGTCATCCCCTCCTTAGGGTTTTCTGGTACAGTGGTTCGTGAGTTGTGTTGATTCATCTGAGTTGCGTTAAACCCCGTTCCTAACTTGGCTGAGTGTAACGGATGGTTTGGGCCTGTATTGGCTGAGGCCCAATTTCTATTATCACCTGAATTGACCCCATTTCTTTGATTAAACGGCCCACGGTTGCTCCCCATTGTCCATCCTCTCCCAATCGGGCCCAATCCTTCTTCTCTCCATGCGTCATTTCTTCTTTCGATCTTGACCGCAAACTTCATCATCTCCGTCAAGGATAACAGCGGCGACATCATCAGCTCCGCTCGTATGCTGCTACGAACTCCATTCAACCAGGCTCCCTTGAGCAATTCTTCGTCTTCAAATCGTAGGGTGCTGATTGTTTTTTCAAATTCTGCTCTAAACTCAGAGATGCTCCCACTCTGTTTTAACGTGTACAGCGCACGATATGGATTATCCAACATCTCCGGTTAAAAGCGGCTGAGCAACTCGCGACGGAACATTCCCCAAGTAGCGTTTTGGTTACTGGCTTCCCCCACTGAAACCAGTGAAGGGCTTATCCTTCTAAAACCACCAACACGGCCGCCAATTTCTCCGTCTCTTCCACTCCGTTCACTACGAAGTACCTTTCCACTTTGCTTAGCCACCCGAACACATCTTCCCCGATGAAAATGGGGATCTCCAAACGCCTGTTTACATGGTGACCCATGTTGACTCTCCTTCCATTTCTTCCATCGGGCTGACCAAACACGCTGTCTTCGTGGTGGTTCTCGCCATCATATGATGGATTTCGTCTTCTTCCAGCTAACTCATCCAGCCTCATGATGATCTCTGCCATTCCCCTTTCATTAGCTACCAAACGCTGGATTACTTCTTGTTGTCTAGCGCCGTTTTCATCAAGCCGTATCAACACTTCTTCTTGTCTAGCACATCCTCGTCATAGTCCTTCCTCTACTAAATCTAATCGGTGCTCCATTAGTCGTGTCCAAACCATCCCACAGAGCTCCTAGATCGGAGCTCTGATACCACTTTGATACAGACCTCTTTCCATTTATCAACAATTATAACAAACAACAAAGATTTTCCTGAATAACATCAGTTTTCGTCTTATATATTGATTAAAAGGAAATTACAATAACTCAGCTTTACTCAACTATGGAGTCAAGCTTCACTTCATTACAGAGATTTCACTGAAAAGTAAACAACAATAAGCTAAAGATAATTGTGCAACAATTATAGAGGTTACACACTCTCCCAATCCCAATAAGGGCCTTTACCAGATTCTTCTCCCCCTTCTCCTCTTCCCTTCTCCTCTTCCCTTCTTCCCTTTATAACTGCCTTCCATGCATCCCCACGCTCCCCATTCTGTTACGGGGTATTTTGGGTACTCTCTTGCTGACGTGGCAACTCTATTGCCTTGCATGCTTGTTTACTTGATTGGGCTATCAGCTTATCAACAGATTAAGTCTTTTGGGCTTGGGCTTGAGCCCACACCTTCCTCTCTTTATCCCTTTTGTATCGTTTGATCTGAATTGTATCACTTTCCTAGCAAAGTATCTGTGTATCCTCTTAAACTAACCTATTTCATGTTCTTTTGCAGCCCCACTATGAACAGGGTCCAGTGAGTCTGTACCAAAGCAACTATTGCTTTGCTTATAGCTGTTGAATTGTGCTCAAATGTTAAACTTTGAGAATCTGGTCTTTAAGATGTGTTTTACACATGCATTTGCAGTTTATAAGTGGATCATTCAATGAAAACCTGGGATATTATCTTGAGAAATACTTTCTTCTATATGGCTCTAATAGGTTGTAATCTCCATCAGAAAGATGCAACAAATTAGGATGAAGGAAGTTTGAATTATTGCTATTAAAACTATGTATCGTGAGGTTTCAATACTTTTAAGTTTATCACAGATTCTTGTCATGTGGCCTCTAAACCTAGGTAAGCATGAAGTTTGACATATCATAATGCCCCATATGAGAAACAATGTATATTTGTATTTGCAAGCTAAGAAAACCAGAAAAAGACAGACCACCACTACAAGGGCAAAGCAAACATCTTCCGCCAACAGTGATAATTTTCCAAATGAGACTATCAAAACTTGTTTAAAGATGGACTTATAAAGATAACAGAAAAGTACTCCCTATTTTCATAGCTACTTTAAAGCCATCATATTAAATTTTCTCACATACAACTGCAAGAGAGTATATGCAACCTGCAAAATCCCATAACTACGAATAACTTAGAAAGTTAACAGACAAAGCTTATAGCTGATAATTCTCTACGAAATTGACAAAGTCAATAATGTGACTGAACATAAAAGTAAACAATTCCTTGCAGGCTTATGGGCACAACATCTCCTAAACCACCAATAAAAAATTCAATACTATCAAAATTAGTTGAAAGAAAATGACAATTTTCAAAAACAAAGGTATGCCTTTTTTATTTTGTTTTCCAAAATCTCTCTGCAACCAAGTAGAGCAACAAAAAAGAAGAAATCAAATCAAACCTAAGCAATACACAGATTGAAGTAAAAATAGCCTTAGTCATGATTACAAGTCATGAAGCAAGAAGCAGGGAAGATAGCCGAGAGACGAAGCCGTGAGGAGTGTTGAGAGAAGAACCAGAGAGAAATGCCAAGGAATGACTGGGGAGAGGAAGATTGAGGCAAGGGTATGGGTTGTAATTTCAAAAATTCAAAGGCGATAATTTTGTCCATAAAAATTTAAAACCTGATTCCTAATCATCTCTCTCTTCTATTGCAGTGGATTTCTTAAGAAGCTAGAAACTGTAAAGTGATTTTTAGGGGCTTCTGCTTTTTACTAGAAGTCAGCTGTAACACCCTAAAATTGACGAAAAGTGCTTTTTTAATGATAAAAATCGCTTTTATTTGAAAAAAGGCCCTTCAAAATTGGCTACCATTACAGGAATAAAAGAAATGGTAAATCATCCATAATTCAATAAAAGGTTAGTAAGCACCACTGCATTCTATATGCTGACAAGAAACTCAAGGTCATATGATCATATTCCCATGTGTATCAACGGATTTCTCTAATGCATAGAATGATTTAACTGCAGAGTTCAATTCAGGGATAAAAGGAACATAATTACAATAACAATAGTGAAATATTAGTAAATTGCATTAGGACAACCTCATCCAGTCAAAGAAAAACTAACCAATATTTACATAAACATCATCGTTGACTTTAGCATAAAACTCAGCATCCCATTCATCTGCAGCATGAGCAAAGAACAATTTCGCTTTCTGTGGGAGTCCCTCATTTGCTTCCACATGATCATCCTGTCAACATAAGTGTTGAAGGTGGTAAGCTAACTAGCTTATGCTCTTGAACCTTACACTCTACTTACAGAAAGCCACAACATAGAAAAAAGAATTTATGTTAAGCAACTATAACTGCAACATGATAATATAACCTCATATTTGCTTGCTTATTTAAACTCAGTCTAAAAACAACATATAGCATTCACATAAGTATTGATGTTAACTTAAGATTGATCTCAACTCATATAGATCGATATTCGGACTTCTGGGTTTCAATATAATATATGTGGTTTTAACCATTGGAAACAGAAGAATAAAAGAAAATAAAATGCTCAGTGCAATAACTATTTATAAAAATACAACAGTGATTGAAACAAGTTTTTCTGGAACTGCTTGGTCTAATTTGACTGACACAACTGGTGACAAAGTAGTTGCAACAGAGTTCTCAGTGGTCAAAATCTCTTCTATTCTAACTTTTATCAACTTGGTAGATTCAATTTTTGCATGGTCAGGAGCATTACTGAATTCTAATCTGAACGTTGGGCTCTAGAGGCTCCATTTCCAAATTTAGAATGAGAAAATTTGCTTGCACTTTTACAGAAAAGTGAATGGCAAATGGTATACTTAAATTGCATCCTTTAAAATTTGCTGTTTAAATTAGTTAAACATACAAGAATTAGGAAGTCATTAGTCAGCCTATTCTCACGATCAATGTCCTTATCCATACTGTCCCCGCGATTTGCACTGCAAAATTATATGTAATTCATAAGAAGTGGTTCAAATTGAATCCCCGGTCCCCACTACCCTCTGAAAAAAAAACCCAAGTCTATAAAAGAAAGAATTTAAACCTTCTTCCAATAACAAATCGCACAATGATGCCTTTTCCATCTTCTATTTTCTTCAAAGCTGCACCTATAAAGGCAGTGCTTTAAAATTAAAACCTCCTCTGAACCACAATCTTAGTGCAAAAAGTTGTAAACTATTTTATAAAATCTGTAAACAAACTATCCAATGTACTAGAACACCAAATATTTCATGAACGTTCAAAACAACTATGTTCAAAATCAAAGCAATGAATCATTACAAACAATATACTATAAAACAGAGTTACATTCTAGAGCTTTTTTCATGAATCATGATCAACATCAGATATGGCAGGAAATAAAATATATCAATACAAGGATACTGACTCTTCTTTCTAGTGTGAAAATGAAGAGAGAAAAAAAAAAAGGGGGGGGGGGGGTTTGGGGGGAGTTTGTTCAATTATAGAGTTCCTCTTGTCTCTTTCTCAGTACCTTACATCAAGTTTCATATTTTCTGTGGTTTTTTTAATTTCGAAACGTTACTGACTTATGGTGGAGTTATTCAAAATGTTACTGACTTGTGGTACTGAGCAAGACAAAGCAAAGAATATATTACCACTTCCCATCCATGCTTTACGAATTGCATCTCTATTCTTCTGCCGGCCAAACTTTGTCAGTATACCTATCACTACCAAGGGCCTTCTCTTAGAGTAGGTCCCATTAGTCTCTATCAAGCGCTTTGAAACAAAACCCTCTTGTCTAGCTGCAGCAAGTTCTATCTCAAGTGCATCAAGCTTCTTATGTTGTTCCCTAAACGATCACATAATTAAACAGTATAGCCACAAAAGAAGTTAAGAAACTTAACAACACCAAAGGACATCATTAATAAAATCACATGGCAATTAAGAACTTCTTGCTGTTTTTAAAAGAAAAAGAAAAGGAGTACACGTAAGTAAATTTAATTCACCTGCAGGCTATGATTTTCAATGTATCATCCACTGATATCGCAGATTGTCCCTAGAATGAAAACGTTGCGGTTAACATAGCCAGAACAAGAAGTAGACGTGTCAAACTATATGTCCCTCCCAAAGTGATCTCTATAGGTCACAGTAAACAACGAGTATCCAACAGTTGATTTACTACACAGCATGAGTCTTTAATTATAATATGCACGCGATCAACTAGTTCTCAAATTCAAATGCAATCACATTAAACCGTGAAAAATGCATCTCCCGAACGGAAACCAGATCCTTAACTTCATTCAGCCGGTGCAGTAATTGAGTCCGCAATCATAAAAAAAAAAATTAAATCCGATGCAGTAATTGAAATTGCAGTGAAAAATTGAACGAGTTCGGATAAATGAATCAGAGTGAGAAATGACTAGTACTACTGACCTGGCCAGTGATCCTATCGAGCTCTTTGATGAGATAAACTCGGTTCTCCGCGTCCTGCCATAACCTGAAGAGAACAATTGAGATTAATTGAATTAAGAGTAACAGCAGTTGAAGGAAGTAGAAGAGAGAAGGAAGAACCTTCCAGCGACGTAGATAGAAGCGAAAGTAGCGAACATGGAGATGAGGAGTGCAGGAATGCGGGATCGATGAGCCATACTGGAAAGTCGGTGGCTCGATCCCTTGCTCTGCATTTCGAATTGGATCCAATTCAGTGATTGAAATGAATGATAATGATATGATTTGCTTGCAGATGCTGAGAGAGTTGGCTAGAAGTAAAGCAAGACAATAGAGAATGCTTTGGTGTTGTTGGTGCTGTTGATTGGTGAACAAAATCACCAACCCTTTCAGCCCTTTACCTCCTCCCCTCTGTTAATCGGGGATTTAATCACATTATTATCTATCTTTTTCTGTTCAGTGAAACCATATTTTTGAACTAAATCCAGTAAGTAAAGTTTTGAGTAAATATCTTTTTCGTTATGACAATTTTCAGTAGCCACAATTTACTGCCCAACAATAAAAAGGCTCAATTTAGTTTCTAATATTTGAAAAAAAGTGTTTCAAAAAGTGCCATATTTGTTCTTCTGGTAGTTAGCATGTGACGGCCCAACTAACGGAGCACGACCCAACTAACGGAGCACAGGTGGACCGTTAGTTAGCTGAGTCACTAACGTCACAAGCCACGTGGAGGAGACAGGAACGATGTCGTTGTGTTATATGCGAAGGCCCTCAGATGTAACTAGAAGCGGACGACGTCGTTTGGTTAAAGGAGACTTCTTCAACCTTGGTGTTATCTCAGTTGACACACTCAGACAATAAGTTACTTGTCCATACCCACCATTTCCTCTGCTCGTGAGCTTCATTTTCGGTGAAGGTTGTGAGGAACAATGGTTTGTTGGTGCACGTCTCGTCTGCAGTTGCAACCATTTGGAAGTAGTGTGGTTTTTGGTGAAGATCGTTAAAACGGTTGTGAGTATGGTGACATTCGAGCAAGGTACGTGGAAGAAGCATTTCTTTATTATCTGTGGTCCCCCTACCCTTTTTCGTCATTGTTTTTTTGTTTAATGTGGTCCCCCATGTGCGGTATTGGTAAAGAGATTGTTAGGGTTTTATTTTCTGGTCCCCTTTGGTATTTTATATTTGGAACTTGTTGCATGTGGTCCCCTTGTCGTTATTTAAATTGTTATTTGTAGTGATTAGTGGACCAAAGTTTTTAGCAATGGAGCCATTTAAAAAATCTGTGATTGTTACAGTATTATTGTAATATTGATAATACATGATTGGTTATATGATACTGTACAATAATATTATGGTAGGGTAAAAAATGATTGAGTTCTGTTTTCTATGCAGATAGATGAATATATAGTCATAAGATATCACCATGGGGGTGTGTTGGTTAGGAATGATGAATGGAAGCTTACTTATGTAAATGAGAGAGTGGATGATTTACCTGAAATGGATGCAGACTGTGTAAACCTTCGTGACCTTGAAACTATATGGTTGCCAAAAATGTAGACAGATGTGGTGGCTCAAGCCTACTGAGAGTGATTTAGAGGTTGTGTTATGTCTTCTTGAAAAAGATTCAGATATTTTGCAAATGGTCAAGGCTGCCTTAAGTAATGGGAACAAAATCGAAATATATTTTGAAGATTGCATTGTTGTTCTTGACATTTTGGCTGGTCCTGCAGAAGGGAGTGATGGGTCTGTACCTCAAAGTGCTGATGAGGAGGGGGTCTTAGGTGATTCAGTTGGCAGTTCGTGTGACTTCCATATGACTTCTGCAGATGAATATGAAGAGGGAGAGGATGAACTGGATGAAGAGGATGAGCCACTTATTTCATTGAAAAAAAGGGTGAAAAGAAAGAAGAAGAAAAAGACAGTTAACAAGAGTGACATGGAAGAAAACTTGGAAGAGGATGAGCAGAATATGTCATTTGAAGAGTAGGGCTATGATTACAATTCTGAAGAGCTGAAGACTCCTCCTTCAAGTGGGGATGAGGAGGTTGAAAGGGTTGTGTTTCCGAAGTTTAATGAGGAGAATACTTTTGCTCATGTACAACTTGAGCTTGGAATGGAGTTTGACAGTTTAGAGCACTTTAAAAATGGTGTGAAAGACTACAATATAAGTCTTGGGAGGCAATTTAAGTGGGTTAAAAATGACAAGGTAAGAGCAAGGGCCAAATGCTCAAATGAAGACTGTGAGTGGATGATATATTGTGCCTGGAACAACAAATTCAATAGTTTCCAAGTGAAGACATTCAATGATGAACATTCCTGCTACAGAATTTTCAAAAATAAAAGGGCCAGCAAGGATTGGGTTGCAAAAAAGTTGGAGAAGAGGCTGGCTACACAGCCCAACATGACAAGGGCTGAAGCTTATGAGCATTTAAAAGAGGAGTACAAGGTCCTTGTACATCTCAAGAAAGTGACCAAGGCACTGTGAAAGCCAAAGGCAGAATAGAAAGTTGTGAGAAGGAATAGTATACCAAGTTAAGGGACTACTTGGGTGAGATTTTGAGAAGCAATCCTGGCTCCACTTGCCAGATGCAAGTAATACCACAACCTATACCTGATAGCCCACCTATTTTTTCTATACTTTATATATGTCCTGATGCCTGTAAGAAAGGATTCAAAGCTGGTTGTAGGCCATTGATTGGCTTGGATCGTTGTTTCTTAAAAGGATACTATGGGGGACAGCTCTTGAATGCAGTGGGAGAGGATGCAAACAAGAGTTTTTATGTCATTACTTATGCAGTGGTTGACAGTGAGACCAAAGAAAACTGGAAGTGGTTTCTGAGTCAAGGAGGACCTTCTGAGTCAGTGAGACCAAAGAGGATGCAAACAAGAGCTTTTATGTCATTGCTTATCCAGTTAATGTCAACATACCATCAACACCTGAAGAGGAGCTCCCTTTGATTCAAGGAGGACCTTCTGTACTATCAAGACAGTCCCAGGCAGCTGAGGACTCCATTAGGGGCAACAACCCACCACCTAATGCCCCACCACCACCAGAAGTTTTGTCAAGTCAAACTCTCAATGCAACAAGCAGTGGCACAAGGAGCAGGCTAATGGCCTTCATGACCACACCTGGGTTTAGGCCACCGAGGCCAGCTTGAATGAAGTTGATCAGTTGTAGGTCTAGTGTTTTTTGTATAGGGGTTCAGTGTTTTTTGTATAGGCAACACTGTTATCTTTGGCCAATTTTTTAAATTGTTGGCAAGTTCAGTTGTACCCCCATATTTGTTTGTATTTAAGGCCTTTAGGTGAACTACTTGTTTTTTTTATTCACAATTGGCAGGCCCTCTTTTTGTTATGTGCCTGTAATTATGAAACCTTAGTGTGGAAACTGTTTGAAGGATGGGTTTATAATTGTAAATGGCTACATCAAATCTGATTTATCATCTTTTGTCAATTAATTTCTTTCCCTTTGTTTGATAACTTTAACTGTTCCAATTTTTTCCCTTTCTTTGCTGCAATATGTCTGTGATACTAACTGATTTATCAACCTTGGTCACTTGCTTCTTTTGCTGCAATATGTCTCTGTATACATTTATGGAAAAAGGATGTGATCCAATGATGTCATGAGTTACAATGCAGCTTTGAACTGTTTGTGGTATTACTTGCTGGTTTGAGTTACATATGTGGATACATTTTGCTGCAATATGTGCATTTCATTGCTGCAATATGTTGTGTTACTGGCAATACCTCTTTTTACTAAACAGCTAATGTCTATTTTTTAACTGTCAGGGACCAATTAGGGCCCCGATACAAATTGTCAGGGACCAATTTGGGCCCCGATATAAATTGTCAGGGACCAAATAGGGGTTTCGTTTATTTTGTTAGGCACCGAAAACAGTTCCAAAATCCCAGTTGCAAAAACAAATATGACTACATATATCACTACTTCCAACTTCTCAAAGTCACTTATTCCAGCACACACAATCAGTCCACCCTCATTATGCAGATAAAATGGTTATGCCCCATCATGGCAGTGGATTCATAACAGGAATAAAACATATGATGCAAACATATGACAAGTATTAATCCATGACCTTGTTCCATTGCCATTGACATATAGTGCAAGCTTGAGCAAAGAAAGCAGTCTACACAAAAACACATTTTCCAACCAAAATACAAGACTACATTGCCATATAATAATAGCATCTTCTAACATTTACTCATCAAAGTGTGAAGAAGTCATTACATTTCATTGAAGAAAACATACATTTCGTACACTATATTTCATTGTTACCACAGTTGCAACAAAAATACAAATCATCATCCCACCTACACAAGCAGCAACTAAGACCCTAGCTGACCTACCAACATGCCTAATTTCCTTGTCCATCCTATCTAACTCCTCCACCATATTTAGGTATAGCTCATTCAGCTTTCTTTCCTGCTCATTAAGCTTCAGTTCTTGCTCACTAATCTTAACACCTTGGTCATTCATCTTAGCTTGCAATTGCTCACTCATCATCATGTCCACATACTTCAACTTGAAATCCATTTCAGCAACATCCAACTCCACCTTGTGTATTCTTCCATCTTCAAGCTCCAGCCTTTCATTACATACGTCATCTACCCGTCTAAAAAAATCACAAAACGGCTTCTTATCCTGCCAAAATTGCAAACCACGGTAAGCAAATATTACAATTTAATTAACTTCAATTTACAAATGTATACCTTGAAATTAGGGCACCCAAAGAATGCCCTATTTGGGTTTCTCTCTGTTTTGGAGGTATAGACGATAGTTTGTCTCCCACATTTGCACCTTCGACCGCCAGTCCGTGAGGTTGTTCTACACCCAAAAGACGTACTCCCACTTAATCCCCCCATGCCAGATGACAGACTCATCTTCTCCTACGCCCCAGAAAATAGCCAGTAAATAACTTCTTCTCTCCTTAATTTTCAGTCTTCAACGTGGGAAGATTTTGGGGATTTTTTTTGTTCATGGTTGATTTAGGGTTCTTAATTTGATAGGGACCATATTGGGTCACTAACCCTTTCGATGCAAGGGTCACCTGTCCAAAAGTCCAACAAGATATAATGCATGTTACACAATGACGTCGTATTACGTCCACGCTGGCCGTGACGTTAGTGACTCAGCTAACTAACGGTCCACCTGTGCTCCGTTAGTTGGGCCGTCACTTGCCAACTAACCGAAGGACAAACGTTGCACTTTTTTTCAAATATTAGGGACTAAATTGAGCCTTTTTTATTGTTGGGGACTAAATTGTGCCTCGTGAAAATTGTCAGGGACGAAAAATGGTATTTACTCTTTTTTTTTATTCAAATATTCATTAAAAACAAAAGAAAAGAAAATAATTAAATGTCCATATTCTCTCCTTATCTTTTAATCTC